CTGCTTCAGTTTGTGCCCGTTGCCCCTTGTCCTGTCGCTGGGCACCACTGGAAAGAGTCTGGCCCCATCCTCCTGACACCCACCCTGCAGATATTTATAGGCATTTCTAAGGTCCCCTCTCAGCCTGCTCTTCTTCAGGCTGAACAAGCCCAGCTCCCGCAGCCTCTCCTCTTAGGGCAGATGCTCCAGTCCCCTCCTCATCCTCGTAGCCCTCCACTGGACTCTCTCCAGTAGCTCCTCATCTTTCTTGAACTGGGGAGCCCAGAACTGGACACAAGTTCACAAGAGCAGAGACACCAGAGCCAGGTGACCCAACATGATTGTGGGAACAGCTGTTGCTGGAGCTGGTGACAGGTCCCCTGTGCCAGCAGGTGAGAGGTAGGTAGGAAAGAAGCAGATGTTGGCCTTTTCCACTTCTCCGAAGGTTTAATGAGGGCCAGATTCGCCCCTGGCTTTCATTCCTCTGAGCCTCTATCAAGTCCAAGTCAGCCCAGGAATTTTAGCGTGGCTCTGATGTGGTGTCGAGCCGCAGACCACATGAAAGGAGCGGTGAGTGCTGGGGAGCTCGGCACCGCATCTGGGCAACTCGTCCGGCACGGCAGCTGCCAGCACTTGCTCCTGGTTGGATCCAGCTCTTGGGCCCTGGGGAAAGCTGCATGGAGGCTTCACCCAGCGCTTTCCAGAGCTCTGCCCCGGTCTCCAGAAGACCCGCTACCCTATGTGTGGTCCTGCTTTGCCAGGCTGGGGGGGGGCGACAGGGAGGAAGGGGAAGCAGAAAGTGCTGGGCTCCTTCCAGAGTGCCCATACGGCCAAGCACAAGGTGCTGGGGAGCATCCCAGGCTGGGGACCATCCTGCAGCACGGTGAACGCTGGTCACAGAAACCGCAGAGCCACAGCGGTGTCAGAAGGCAGCACTGAGCTGTGCACTGTGTCCCTACAGATGCTGGGCTGTCCCCTGCATCCTCTGGGTTCGGGTGCTTGCAGGAGGCACTAGCCAGCGGCGGAGGATGCTAGCCCGCTGCCTTTCCCTGCCTCGGGGCCTTTCCGCCCCCGTCCCACGCGCTCTTCCTAACCCCCACGACGAGCCTCGGTATTAAATGTGCTCCGCAGAGCCCCGGGAGGCAGCGGCAGGCTCCTGGGTGAATACTAATAGCGATGCCGTCCGGTCGCCCCAGACTTTCCCACACATCGGAAGCCACTTAATGTGGGAATCGATAACCCTCTGCTTTCACCCAGCGCTTTCCAGAGCTCTGCCCCGGTCTCCAGAGGACCCGCTACCCTATGTGTGGTCCTGCTTTGCCAGGCTGGGGGGGGGCGACAGGGAGGAAGGGGAAGCAGAAAGTGCTGGGCTCCTTCCAGAGTGCCCATACGGCCAAGCACAAGGTGCTGGGGAGCATCCCAGGCTGGGGACCATCCTGCAGCACGGTGAACGCTGGTCACAGAAACCGCAGAGCCACAGCGGTGTCAGAAGGCAGCACTGAGCTGTGCACTGTGTCCCTACAGATGCTGGGCTGTCCCCTGCATCCTCTGGGTTCGGGTGCTTGCAGGAGGCACTAGCCAGCGGCGGAGGATGCTAGCCCGCTGCCTTTCCCTGCCTCGGGGCCTTTCCGCCCCCGTCCCACGCGCTCTTCCCTACCC